CAGATTAGCGCTGCCGTAAGTTGTGTAGTAACTGGGGTCAGTTAGTGGTCACCAGAATGAAAACAAATGAAGACAGTGCTGCTATACATTAGATTCAGTGCATTGTAGAAACTAACATTTCAGCAGGACCTTCACCTCATGGAATATTAACATGGTGAATATCTTATTTTATAAAGGGTCCATAGGGTTATGTTTGCAATCAAGCATGTCTTTGGCCAACGTTTTAAGAAAAGTTAAAAACTACAAAAATGTTTTTATCCAACGCATTTTTGCATGTTATGTTTTCTTCATTGAAAATATGTATTTCTGGCTTTGGTGGTGTACATTTGGTGGATATATAATTACATTATAAATTTAATCTTAAACAAACTGCTGTGTTCTGGGATGCAGGACTGTGCAAAAGTCATGAACCCCCATTTCTATTTTTCTAGAAAAATAGGAAATTGTTCCAGTAATTTTTTGAAACATGTTCAAAAATATATAGAAATGCAGTATATAGAGTTCTTGCAGTTCTAATGAGCTTGAAAGGCAATTTTTGTTATAATAACCCATATTCTTCAAAACAGCTGGCAAAATTTCTTGTGATTTCTTTAAGAAGTCACCAGGAATACTCCTCTGTGCTTCTTGAATGACATTTAAAGCTCTTCTTTGGATGTTGGCTTCCTTTTGTTCTGTTTTATATCAAGATATCAATAATGTTGAGGTCTAGGCTCTGGGAGGCTAAATCACGACTGATAGTGTTGCATTGTATGTTTTTACTGCACCGGCAGAGTGTTTGTGATCGTTGCCATGCTGAAAAATGAAGCTATTGTCAATCAGATACTTTCCAGATGGGGCTGCATGATGGATCGAAATCTAAATGTACTTTCCTGTATTCATAGTTCCACTAATATTGACAAGATCCCCAACACCACTGGCTGAATTGCCAGAAAGCCCCAAACCATGACAAAGCCTCCACTGTGTTTTGTACATGGCTGTAGACACTGGTTGTACCGCTCTCCCAACATCCGCCATACATTTGGAACATGATTTGAACCAAAGATTTCATACTTGGATTCATCACTCCACACAACATGTTCCCACTGTTTTCCAACCCAGTTCTCATTTCATTCGTTAAGAATTCCTTAAGCTAATTGACAGCCTCACTTACTCTGGTGAACAATAGATCAACTGAAGGCTTAGAAACATTTCTCAAGTTTTGCTTTGCTGGATTCTTTCCAATTTCAGAGACCTAACTTTCAAATATCGTTCATCTGCTATAGATAGTTTTTCAGGGTTGTCGCTTCTGCTTTTGTCCTCCTTTGTTCAGTTTCCTTAGTTTTTTTTAAGGACATGCTGTGCACCAAACAGAGATAGCAGAGATGTTCTCAGCTAATAACTCTTTGGCAATCTCCTTATTGGTGCAGAAATGCTCATTTATGCCTGTCAAACAACATTTTTTATAGATTCAACTAAAGAAATGGGGACATTTCTGTTCCATTTGCCTCTCATAAAAACCAACTACTATTAACATAGAGCTTAAAGATCCAAGTGAATTAAGAATTGTCTTTGTCTGTTATGTATAGACACAGTGTTGGGTCATCCAATGAGTTATGTGTCTTTATTATGCTTGAACGATTGATAGGTCAGTGTTAAGTAGCTTAACAAACAAAAATGTATGGAGAACAACAAGAAAAATAAAAGAAACTCAGCAGGAACACTTCAGTGATATATAGAAGTAAAATTGGAAATTCCCCTCTGCAAATTTCATATATGCACAGAGGTTTTAGATGAGAAAAATGCTTTATATTAACCTGAGTAACCACATGACATCTTACAGAGTTAACAATGATCGTGCCAAACACACAGTCCCGCCACACATATGGTTTTCAGGATAATAGTAGTGACAAGGTTTAGTTCCTGGGACTGATAA